CATTGAGCAGGATTACCAACTAAACAAAGTGACATTCTTTCACAAATTGAGAGGACAGAGAACGTCCTTAAATTTTGTAAAGGACCAAACACAAAGTTTGATCAATTGCTTTTCCACAAATTGGTGTTAAGTTTATCAGTCCTCAAAATATTAGCCTTCAGGTCTAGCTTGGAACGGATTAGAAGCTTATCAGGCCAATGCCATACAGAACAGTCTTTTTTATATTTTTATATTCAACTGAGATAAAGGCTCTCCAGAAAAAACAAACAAAACCACCGTATGAAACCAGACTTTGCACATATAGACAAATAATAGCAAAAGCGGAGCAAGTAGTAGTATAATAAGTACATTAATGGCATAAACACATTTGCCAAATGGCACACCTCTAGGACAAGAGATATAATTGGTTTACACAAAGATCTAAGTCAATTACCAAATAGTATACATCCCAATCAAAGACGTAAGCCTAAACACCTTAACCAAAGACACTTTTGGTTACAAGTCCTAGATAACAAAATTCAGAGAGCAAGAAGAGCCCATTGGGGCTGGTTGGAGCTGTTGAGACGATCACAACTGGCTACAGATTCTGAGTGCAACTGGACTCTGAGGTCCAGTGAACACATCTGTCACCTGTGGTCCAAGCATCCTGTGGAGGGTCTTCAAAATGATCTCAGTGGACTCTGTAGAACTGTCCAAGGATCATACAACCACCACATAGTGTCTGAAATAGAAATAAAAGCCAAACATACTGCTTCCTACAGTGAGAGAAAACCATACTTGCCAAACACCATTATCTGGAGCAGAGCAGAATGCCGACTGGGGACAGCATGGAGTTCAGGGACTGGACAGCAGTGAACTGACATCCCCATAAGGTGAGGTTACTCAGTGAGATTGCTGTCAATTGATTGGTGCTCAGAGGAGCATTTATCAGGGTGAGTCCTATCCTAATCGGCTGATGTTCAGAAGTGAGGGCAGCCATGGTTTGCAAGTGTGTATTAACAGAGCTGGATTGTCCCTGGTCAATGTTTAAACAACAAGATTCCTTGTTGCCATAGCTACAGAACAATCAATCTTCCTAAGTTTGTTGGGAAGCCTGAGGGATGTTTTCACCCTCCCCTGTGTAGAGGCCCCCCTTAATGTGTAAGATCATTTCTAGCTTGAGCATCTCGGTTCATCTGTCCCTCTTCCATGCTGATAGTGGGCTGATCTAACCTCCAAATCACCCAAAACCACTTCTAAGGTAACAATCTTCATCCCTGAGTTTCAGTACCTGGTGTTGATGGTAATCTCTTCATTATGTGTGATATTAACAGGAAAGTAAATCTGAATGGTTAGAGGAAATTAAAGAAATGTACTGGGTTTATGATTAGCCAGTAAATCATTATTTAGTACATAACCATTTCCGAAAAATGAGAATTCTGACACATAAGTACATGTTCCCCAAGGAACGTGTTTATTTGGACAGATGAGGCTAATTGTTCACTGAGAAAAATGTTATATGTGTATCCTAAATTGTGAGATGTGTGCTCTAAATGAAATAGCACTACAAAGATGATTAAGAAAAATCTAATTTGGCTTAAATGTCCACTTTTTTTTTTTACCCTACTACTTCTTTTTCTGTGAAAGTACTAAAGAGCATGCTGAGTAATTGATAGAATAATTAATAGAGTTCTATTCCTCAGACTCAATTAGGTGCCTTATTGTAATCATTGATTAGCAGGGAGCAAAGAGCTAAGGAGTTCCTGAGTCAGAAAGCCACAGGGTGAGCAACACAAAAACCATGAGGTACTAAAAACCCTAAAACTTCCCCAACATCAAAGATCCTCCTCCCAGCGGAGCCTCTGCTGACCTAGAAGAGCCATTTTAAATCCATGACCTTCTTCCTTCTGTCAGGTGAGTTGGTGCTGAATGTTGCATGAAGAGAGGCCCAGCAAAATGACCAACATTCACATCGAGGTCCTAGAAAATGTGCTTCTCTGAGACATGTGGGATTCTAGGACTAACTTCTAAATAATTCCTAACTCACAGAAAGCCATAAAAAGATAGTATTCAGAAAAAATATTTAATTTGAATTTAAAGTAGAACCCTAAGCGGTTCCCATGGAACATAAAAAGGAAGGTTAAAACAGGACCCTTGAGTCTGTTTGGAAGGCCCTGTGGACGTGGGCTTGTCACTGATGTACTACCAGCTCAGTGACAAAGGAACATGCACGTAACCCCTGTGAGGGAGCATTTAGCTGAAACCCCCTATTGACACGGGAAAAGTCACCCTGAAGACAAACTTAGAAATAAACCACCTGGGTTACCTTTAAGAATGTGCTTCCCTCCACATTAGAACCATTACACAGCAGACGATTATTGAGGATCCAACGAAGGTATGGTTTTTTTGTTGTTGTTGCTGTTTTATTTTTTTAATGTTTTATTTAAATTTGAAAGCAAGAGAAACAGCATTAGCAGGGACGGGCAGAGAGAGAGAGAGGGAGATACAGAATCTGAAGCAGGTTCTAGGCTCTGAGCTGTCAGCACAGAGCCTGATGTGGGGCTCGAACTCACAGACCACAAGATCATGACCTGAGCCAAAGTCAGATGCTTAACCGACTGAGCCATTCAGGCGCCCCTGAATGTACGTTTTATGTGGGAACAGCTCATCCTTGGCAAGAGCCTGGGTGAACTAGAAGAACACAAGGTTTTGTAGTACGACTGCCACATGCCCCTAAAGCAGGCCCGCACGTAGGACACTTTACCTTCCTGTACAGGGACCGTGACTCAAGTGATGGGCTTCCATAGAACTCTTATAACACTCAGCTCCCTTTCCCAAGACGAGTTTCTATAGAAATAGTCAAATCCTACACTTTTTTTAGATGTTTTATTTATTTCTAGGAGAGAGAGAGACAGCGTGAGCAGGGGAGGGTCAGAGAGAGAGGGAGTCACAGACTGAAACAGGCTCCAGGCTCTGAGCTGGCAGTCAGCACAGAGCCCGACGCGGGGCTCGAACCCACGAACCGCGAGATCATGACCTAAGCGAAAGTCGGACGCTCAACCAACTAAGCCACCCAGGCGCCCCAGTCAAATCCTACACTTAAACGTGGGTCATACACCTGGAAAAGCAACCACTGTGATCCCATCTCTCAGACGAATGATGAGCTACTGTGCTCTGTCCGGATGTGGCAGCCCCTAGGGGTGTAGGACTGGATCTGAGCGTACGGACGGGCAAAGTCTCCAAAGAGGCAGATGTTCTCCATGTCCACCATTCAGAAAGATGGCTCCCCAGAACGGAAATCTTGTAACTTTTTCCATAATGGAATAGGAAACTCCTACAGACATAATGTGCAACATGGCGGAGGGGGGGGTATATCTCATCCTTACAGAAGGTTGACCTTCCATTGGTAGTTTCACTGTGGGGCTCACTGTGTCTTGCAACTGGAATTTGAGTATACAAAGGACTAAGCGTGGGCTCTGGAGTCAGTCTGACAAAGCTAATGGTCACAGGGAAGGCAGACAGGGCGTGAGATGGGAAGGTTGGTCGGTTCCGCAAAGGGTCCCATGTCTCAAAAGCCAGAATATCTGGTAGTATGTTGCTGTACTTATTTCTACTGTCAAAGCAGAGCCTTTGACAAAGTCTAGTTTCCTCTTTTATATCAGTTGTGCTATAGAGAAGTAAGGGGTGGTCACAGGGCAGTCACAACCCTGAGTGGCCAGTGTTACCACTGAAAAAGTACGGAGAGGGAGGAGAATTTTTAGGGGTTTTAAAGTCAGGACCAGAATGCTCCTTCAATTGCCACCCTTGGAAAAGGGGTAAAAATAGCCTCCTTGATGTCATTTTGGGTTTGAGTTTTATTAAGAAATTGGTAGGTTTCTCCATTTGTGCTGAAAAATAAAGCTAAATATTGCGTTGCATTTCCATAAATGAATTCCCTGCAATGCACTACCAGATATGCACTAATAATGTATGAAAGGTTACCGTGGCCTCATCTTGGGGTGAGATTGGGGTATAGAAAGAGGTTTTCCCTTCTCACTTTACGTCTGTCTTTAAGGGTTGCAGTGTTGTGGACTATTCCAATATTTATGATTTTCTTTTTGATTGTACAATACTTGGTGTTTCACTGCAAGTTATTTATATATATATATTATATAACAAGAAGGCTATCGTGCAAATTTGAGAATTCATATGGCAAGTGATATTACCTTAACTGTAGTGTTTCTATTTATACCTTAGTTATTCTGTATGACAGATAAACTGATTCCTTTTGACTCCAATTTGTAGATGTAGCCATAAACTAGTCAAGAGGGCTAGGTTAACAAGAATGACCCTCTGACCTAGTCCTTTGCCTAAAAGTTTGTGTGCGATTGAGAGAGAGCTATGGGATCTTCCTTTTCAAATGCACTGGGGTCACAGAATGCTGGGGTTGAGGAGAGTGATATCTAACATCCCTGTAGTCTCACCCACCAGGGAATGAAAGTCTGCTTTCCATGAAGCCCTGAGGGAGGTAAGTGTCCTGGTGAGCGAACTGTCCCAAACGGTCATGGGAAACTGACACCAGAAGAAGAGTTCTAGAAAATTCCTTGAGGGCGGATTGACACGAACACAGAAAGTTATGAAGATTTTAGAACACGAGGCTTTAATTGTACCAGGGTTGGATAAGGATTCAGCACGCTTTTGATTACTCGTGTACCTTGGTCACTAAATTACATGTAATGCCTGTGTGACTGGTTTATTTCAGTTTTTCCTCGTTGAAGAGGCAGCACTAGGGAATTCACCTTCATCATATTTATTATGAATGCTCCCATTTTCCCGCCACTTCTCAGATGTAAGCAAACACCAGCTCTGTCGCCATGGTTTCACAGCTGAGGGTGGGCTCCCCAGGCAGCCAGTGTCCCACACCCGGCAATCAAGGGCTTCCTCTTCAAGTAGATGCGCAGGACCCATCTGGCGTCAGCCTACGCACGCCTGGCAGGCATAAGAAGGTGGCTCTTCATGAAGGTTCGCCTTATCTTTTCCAGGCAAAGGCCTCTACTCAGCAGCCTCAGATGGTGTTCACGGTCCGCCACACCACCGTCACCTTCCAGACAGAAGGGGACACGTGGAGGGAACAGAAAGAGCAGAAAGCTGCCCTGATGGTGGGCATTCTCATCGGGGTGTTTGCGCTCTGCTGGATCCCCTTCTTCACCACGGAGCTCATCAGCCCCCTGTGCTCCTGCGACATCCCCGCCATCTGGAAGAGCATCTTCCTTTGGCTTGGCTACTCCAACTCCTTCTTTAACCCCCTGATCTATACAGCTTTCAACAAGAACTACAACAGCGCCTTCAAGAACTTCTTTTCTAAGCAACACTGAGCATGAGGCCCGGGGATGGGAAGGAGCGATCCTGTAACCCAATTCTACCTACTTCCCCATAAATACCCAGCGCCACATGGAAGAGGCAAGTCCTTGGAGTTCTCTGGGGTCGTCTTCGGCACTAGCCCTCATTTCCACGCTCCTAGGCAGGAATGTGGGTCATCACAGGCAGTTTTGGTGACCTTATTGACCTAACTTACCTGTTATTGCTCACTCTGCACCTCCCAGCCATGGACTTTTCCCATGAAGTGCCCTTTCCTCCCCCAAATCCACTCCAGTGCGGACATCGTCCTTGCCCCGGAGAAGTCAAACAAAGCAGATGAGAGGGAGGAAATGAAGCAACACGGACAGGTTGAGAATGGATAGGAAATGATGAATTAAAAGTCATTTTGGGCACATCTGAAGGGTAGGAAATCATAATTCCAAGTTTGGTGGAATAGTCCTTATTTTGAACATTCCATTCTATGCTCCTAGTAAGGATACCCTAGTACTTATCATGTACATCCCAGTGTCTGGTCATAAAATATTATCTCTGAACATATTAAAGTATATAGCCACAGCTGCAAGATGAGTGAATATTGGCTTTAAGGCTTTGTTTGTGGTAACAATGTGTGTGTGCACACACACACATACACACACACAGCTCTGGAGGAGGTGAATGTTCCATTTGGCCGGTTTATTCTAAAATTCAACCCATCAATTTGGAACAGGAGCTAGAAGTCAAAACAAATATCTCCCAGCATTCTGAGGCAACTGTACACAAACGATAGAAAAATCGACTGGTTCTGCAAAATCTGTCAAATGTGCTTCTTTTTTATGGGTTTTACTTGTATAGAGTTTATTCAGATGTTGCAGAACAAGGACCTTTATCCTGGGATCATGGGGTTAGAGGATACTGGTCATCACGAAGTTGGTGGCTTCTTATAGCTTCATAACCACGGACTGTGAAGGCGCATTCACCAAACACATACACTTTAAAGGGACAGTTGGTTAATTTGCTATTTTTTATTGGTGTGGGAATGCCCATTATGAGGGCAACACTAGTAACTAATGAGAAAGGCAGAAATATGGTAAAATGTGGCCTCGGTCCTCTGCAGATTGACACCTCTGTATAAGTGAGTCGAGACAATTAAGTGATGATGCAGTGTTTCTAGGATCATATAGAGCCTAGGCCATTATACAAAACTTCAGAAAGATCTCGGGCAATAAAACTGCCCGCGGTCCACACTGTCCCTGATTCTTCGAATGCATGAATTCAAAAACTGTATCTCATCATAATCTCTTATTATTATAATACATATATATACTCTTTTGTATATAATAAATTATCTTAAAAATAGGAAATTTGTGTGAATTTGCGGTCTTGATTGGAAGTTTAGTCTTGCATTTACTGCCAAGATTCTTTAATCAGAGAATGTGAGCAGACGAGGAAATGTTCCACAGCCTCTGGGCCATGACTGATGATGCTAAGTGCAGACCTCTTATCTATGCAGTGAAGCAAGGTCGTGGAAGAACTTCCTTGGAAATATTCTTAGATTTTTCTGCCTTCTGTTTATATCACTTGAAGTGCCAAGCCTACAAATATTTTGATTTCTCTTAAAGCTTTTTTTTTTTTTTTTTTTTTTTTTTTGGAGAGAGAGATGAGAGAGAGACAGGGGAAGGGGCAGAGAGAGAGAGGGTGAGAGAGAGAGAATCCTGAGCAGGCTCCACGCTGCCAGTACAGAGCCTGGTGTGCAGCTCAGACCCACAAACTGCGAGATCGTGACCTGAACTGAAACCAAGAGTCAGATGCTTAAGCGACTGAGCCCCCCAGGCGCCCAACCCACAGATATTTTAAGATATGGATTGTTCACTTCAGTTACCTCCCCCCATGATGACTTGGAACCAGAGAGGTCACCAAGTCCTATTAGATTCTAGTATCACGATAAGGGAAGTGCTTCCAAAATTTCATTAATATCTTGTAACAGAGAAGGCAACGCCCAGACAAGGGGAGCCCAGAGATGGGACATCAGAATCAAGGGCTGGGGCACCTGGGGGGCTCAGTCTGTTGAGCGTCCAACTTCGGCTCAAGTCATGATCTCACAGTTCGTGGGTTCAAGCCCTGTGTTGGGCTCTGTGCTGACAGCTCAGAGCCTGGAACCTGCTTCAGATTCTGTGTGTGTGTCTCTCTCTTCACCGCCTCCCCTGCTCATGCTCTGTCTCTCTGTATCTTTTAAAGATAAATAAACATTAAAATTTTTAATATGATAGAAAACAAGAGTTTGGAGATGACCCTGTGTGTGTGTGTGCATGTCTGCATGTGTGTGCATGCTTGCATGCTCATGTAATTTACCGAGAGTGTACAAGGCTATAAAATGTAACAGCTAGCCAGAGGGCCCTAGGCTCTGAGTGTAAAACCAGTCAGTGGCAGCACACACGGCAGCTCTACGTACAGCAGAGTAGCACTGACACCGGGCACCCTGGTCGCTGACTCTGGCCACCGACGCACAGTGCTCTCCCTCCGTCAGGAGGTGTGGCTTCTCCTCTCCTCACCCACCGAGGCCTAGATTTTGTTACGCCATCTGGTAGGTATCACGTTATTGTTCTTGGAGCCCTTCGCTGTCACAGTTTTCCCAATTCTCTTAAGTACTATTTTCCCATTGAACTCTGCTGTCAGTGTGTCTGCTTCCAGACAAAATGTTGTTGGCATTTTTTATTAATATTGCACTAGGACATGGCTCCATGCCTGAGTCGGAAACCTTAGTGAAGATGATCGGCTAGGATGCCGAGACTTCCTACCCAAGAGCAAGGTTGTCCTTCTTAGACTGTAGCACCTTCCTTCCTTCCTGCGCTTTAACCAGCCTGCCTCGTCTCCGCACGCCGCAACATCAGGGCCCTCCAAGCATCAGTGAGGCCACTCATGTCTTGTAGCCTCAGGACAGAGAGTTCTGGCTACAGACACACCAACCTGCGATGAGCCCAGAATGCGGTTTGAAACAAAGGCCTCCAGACATATTTCTGCAATGAGGGTCCAACAGACCGCGTCTCTGGTTTCCTCCATCTGATGCAATTGTAGCATGCCCAATTATGTTACTGTAGAGCACGAGTACTGTTAGTTTCCTCTTGCTGTCGTAGCAAACACTACAGATGTGGTGTGTCCAAACCACACAACTGGGTCATCTTACAGTTCTGGAGGACAGAGGTCCAACGTGGCCTCGCTGGATTCAAATCACGGCGTCCAGGGCTGTTTCTTTCTGGACGCGCAAGGTGAGCATCTGTGTCCTTGACTCATTAGCCTCCAGAGGCACCTTCTTTCCTCAGCTCGTTGCCTTTCCTCCGGCTGCCGCACCAGCAACATCACATCCCTCCAGCCTTCTTCCGCCATCACATGTCCCTCTGACTCACTGCTGCCTCCCTCCTCCACTTGTAAGGATCCCTTGATTACATGCGGCCCAGACAGATAATCCAAGAGGCTCTCCCTACCTGCCAATTAGCAGCCTCTTAGCAGATCACCCAAGGGGTGCTGGCTACCACGGGGAGGCCGCCGGTGTGCACTTGGATTGTGTGCCGTGGCTCAGGTGGGCACAGTCGTGGACAGGACACATGCCCCCTCAAATCTGGGACCTCTTACCACACTCACGTTTTGGACACATTTCCCAGGGGTGGTTCTGCCTTGGGCCTGGCAAACCCGTCTGGGATGGGTGGCCGACTCCTGAGGCCACTTCCAAGAAGCACTGAAGTTCCAGAGCCACACGGTCAGTTGCACAAGCAGCTGGATGTGGGATCTAACATGGGCTTAGTGGGCAGAAAGGCCAGACTGAACTCACTTAGAAATCAGCAGGGTAAGGGCCCCTGGGTGGCTCAATTGGTTAAGCGACTTCGGCTCAGGTCATGATCTCATGGTTTGTGAGTTTGAGCCCCGGATCGGACTCTGTGCTGACAGCGTGGAGCCTGCTTGGGATTCTCTTCTTCTCCTGTCTCTCTCCCCCTCCCCCACTTGTACTCTCTCTCAAAAAAAAAAAAAAAAAAACTTAAAAATAAAAAAGAAAGAAAGAAATCAGCAGGCTAATTAATTCCTGATGAGGAGGTGCTGGCTGCCCTATTTCCCAGCCCTTGTGTGTGAGGGCTCAGGGCCCAAACCACCCAAAACGTGGCACCGTGCCCGCGGCTATGCAAACCAGCCATCCCTTGGGTCATGACCTCTCTGACTTGGGGGCGCCCTGGGTGCCGGGCCTGGAGTTTTCCATCATGGATCAAGGAGCCAGGGAGTGTAGGGACTTCACTCTTTGGGGCTGGTCTGAGAATCTTGACTCTGGCCTTGGGAGGTGAAGGAAGCCTCGGTGCTCCGGGAGAGTTTCCCAAACAGGCTGGGCTCAGAACGGCAGCCAGAACTTGACTTGTTTCTACAAATATAAAGACAGACGCCACACTGTCTCACCTCAAGCCAGCAGTCCGTGCTTGGCCGGGAGCCGAAGTGAAGGATATATTTAAGAGAAGTTTGATCTGACCCACGATCTGCGTGCCACGTGGGTGCGACACGGAAGGACAATCACGTGACATGTCCTCCCCAGTGGGTGGCTTTTACTCCCGGGATGGTTTCAGCGTAGACCCCACCGCACGGAAGACCAGCAGCCCAGGCGAGCGGCTTGCAAACCGAGGTAGCAATAGGAGCCTGTCACCAAGCGCCCACTCTCCAGGGGACGCTTCCTGGCAGATGCCAGACACTGCCTGGGGCGGGGGCCTCTTGGTCTTCCCCTTCCCAGAGAGCAGGACACAGAACCGTGCTGGGCCCGTGCTGGCCTCACAGACACGGGGTTGGTGCTCTGCTCCCTGCGGCCAAATCCCGGTGGGGACTTTTCCGAGACGGTGCCGTGCTGGGAGCCGCGCGTCCCCTCTGTCCGTATCCACGGTGACGGAGCTTCCTGACACATCCTGGGGGAGGGAACAGCTCGTCTGAACTGGTATTTCCCCCTGGTGTAAACCGGATGCTTTGGAAGATGATGAACATATTTCATTCACCACCTCCCACCCTAGCTCTGCCTCTGCGCTCTCGTCGGTGTGTTCAATTCGCAGGGAAATCGTTATTTCCCTCGTTGGTCCTGGGAAGACTCTGAGGCGCTTCCGAGAAAACCAGATCATCGCACCACTGTAATCACGGCCGTGGGCGCTTCGGAAGCCCCGTGGGAACGTCTAGGAGGAAAGATCGCTTTTCTGAGAGCAGAAAGGGTGCTTATCATCACAGGTACCTTCCTTTACACACCCCCGGAGGCCTGGTAACCCATCCCCATGCGCAGAGGAAGGAGAATAAAAACGGAGGCTTCAGAGCAGACCCCGCAGGCAGCCCAGTCCCTCTGACCGCGCCGCAGCGGAGAGTGCGGCCTCGGCATTGCCGTCCCGCGCAAGTGCAGCTCTCACACCGCGCCGACACCGTGGGAGTGACTCCACGAGGTTCACCCAGGCTTTTTTTTTTTTTTTTTAATATTTTTAAAAATATTTTTATTTATTTCTAAGAGAGAGAGAGACAGCGTGAGCAGGGGAGGGTCAGAGAGAGAGGGAGTCACAGACTGAAACAGGCTCCAGGCTCTGAGCTGGCAGTCAGCACAGAGCCCGACGCGGGGCTCGAACCCACGAACCGCGAGATCATGACCTAAGTGAAAGTCGGACGCTTAACCGACTAAGCCACCCAGGCGCCCCAGGTTCACCCAGGCTTTAAGGGAGGCAACCGTGTGTCCCTCCCGATGGTGGGGCGACCGTCTTCGGTCCTGGCCCGGGCAACACGAGCCAACGTCCCGGAGCCAGGCTTCTCCTGTTTCCCAGGGGACCCTGCACATGCTAGGGCAACAGTCAGCATGAGATCGAGTCGTGCTCGTGCCCAAAGCACCGGGCCTGAGAGCATTTGCTCCCAAAATGGAAGGCATCCCTGCAGGCGGAGGTTCCTGGGAGAGAATGGGGTGTGCAGGGTGTGCTCGTCTGCTGTGCGAGCGAGCACACATCCCCCATGGTCCTTTCAGAGGCTGCAGAACGAACGGGATCTGAACCGTGTTTTAAAAATCGTAGGTTCATTCTTTTTGAACCAGTCACATCTGCGCATGGATTTTTAAAACAAGATAAGCTAATCTACCCAAACAAAGTTAAGAAAAAAAAAAAAAAAAGGGTGGGGGGCACCTAGATGGCTCAGTCAATAATGCACCCGACTCTTGATTTCTGCTCAGGCCACGATCTCACTCTGAGTCCGTCGGAGCCTGGCATCCGGGCTCTGCACCGACTGTGCAGAGCCTGCTTGGCACTCTC